CTCTACCACTTGAGCCACAGTGCAACTTCCGGCATTTTTCTTTTTGCTTATGTGGTGCTGAGGAATTGAACCCAGGGCCTCAGGCATGCAAGGCAAGTGCTCTACCACTGAGCCACCTTCCCAGCCCCCTCTGTGTGTCTTTTTGAACTTATTCCACCTCTCTGTGCTTCAGGCTATAACACAGATGGGTTAACATTCACAAAGTGCTCAGAAGGTGCCTGGTACAGAGATGAGGGCCTGTTGAGTCCATAGATGTTAACATCTTAGGAATTTTTGGCTTTGGCCACAGGAAGCTGGCAGTGGTAGGGGGTGGGGGGAGAGGGCTTTCCTGTAGGGGTGTGGCCAGGAGTTAGGAAACCCAAAGCTGAGACTCCAGCTAAGATGTTGATAAGGAATCACTTCCTAGCCACTGACCTTACCGTACAGTTACGTAATGCTTGCCACACACGGGGGGGGGGGGGGGGGGGGGGGGGGGGGTGGGTAGCTGCCTACAGAAAATATCAGCGACAAGATCAAGTTCAAGACACCTCACACAATCAACTTGTGGGAAGAATGGATGACAAGTCTCAGAACTGACTATGGGGTTCACAGACCCCAGATAGATTTGAACCCCTAAGATACTCATCCCCTCCAGTGCAGTGTTCCATCTTGAGTCTGCCCACCCTCCCACCAGAGGAAAAACGTTTGCTCTGTTGTTGCATTGTATTACATTTATTTATTTACTTATTTATTTATTTTTATTTTATTTTATTTTTTTCTCAATTGGTAGGGTTTAAATGGTTTTACATTGTTAGGTGGAAGATTGCCACAATTCTGTGCTCATGGCAATTTTCAAAGGAAGACTCGAAACTGAAAATGGTTGTAAGGCTTATATTCAGGGTTTGGGTACTGGCCCTGAGGCTCTTTCTGCTCAAGGCTAGCTAGGGCTTTGAGCCACAGTGCTGCTTCTGGTTTCTTGGTGGTTAATTGGAGATTAGAGTGTCACCTAAGCTGAGAAGTGGCTCACGCCTGTAATCCTAACTACTCAAGAGGCTGAGATCTGAGGATCTCGGTTCAAAGCCAGCCTGGTAAGAAAGTCTGTGAGACTCTTATCTCTACTAAACCTCTCCGAAAACCGGAAGTGGCCCTGTGGCTCAAGCACTAGCAAGCTAACCTTGAGCTGAAGAGCTGAGGGACAGCATTCAGGCACAGAGTTCAAGTCCTATGACCGACCAAAAAAAAAAAGGGGGGGGCGGGGAGGGGTTTGAGAAGGGATGGGAAGGGGAAACAAAGGAGGAGGCAACAATGCTTGATAAGAAATGTACTCATGGGCTGGAAAGGTGGCTTAAAGTAGAGCACTTGCTTTGCATGCATGAGGCCCTGGGTTCGATTCCTCAGCACCACATAAGAAAAAAGCCGCAAGTGGCATTGTGGCTGAAGTGGTAGAGCGCTAGCCTTGAGCTGAAGAGCTG